CGGTAGGTAGCGCCCTAGCACGGCGCAACCTACCGACCCGGACGCGCACTGCGCCCATGCGCCCACAAATGTCCGAGCGATGCTGAGCTCGTATCGCTTCATTTGCGAAGTACAATATGAAGCGAAGGGGTTGATATGAAGCGATTTTGGTGTTGCATAGATATGTAAGTACACACATGCTGCCCTACCTACCGTAGCGACGATTGGCACGATGTCAACGGGAAACTCGCCCGTGATGTTTTATAAGTCTTAGAGCGAAGGCGGAGGGAACATGACTGTACGATGTGAGCAGTTACTTGGAAGGTAGAAGTTTCTCGTACGAGACACTTCCACTAACGTCCATATCTAAGGGCAATAATGGGCGGAGCTGCGAAAGCAGCGATGGCTGAGAGGGTTCAGACGAAAGAGAAGCAGAAGCCTATGCGTAAGAGAGGAGAGTTGACACGCAGCCGTCGCCAGAATGCCCCTCTTAGCCTTTTCATATGGGCGATAAATAACCAGCTGACCCACATCGCTCCACGGCAGTCTATGCATCCTGTCTGGATGAGCCCATGGAACCCTGGCTAGCACGAGCTCTCTTTCAGTTATGAAGCAAAAGATGATCTCTTCAGAACATCCCTTTCGAGGAGGGACTATGCTGATGAGGTGACATTTCATTGCTATTGACAGTAGGTCCCAGCAAAATGCCGGTGATTGGAGCGGCGATCCCAGTGGATACGAGGAGATCCTGACAATGATCTACCTACAACAAAGCCGATCCCGCTCGTAGACTGATCTAAGAAATAGTACCTTTCTGAAGAGCTGACAGCGAGCAATACAGCTGAGCATCCTCCTCAAGTTTCTTCAGAATCGGTTCATCAACAGTAATCAGCTGCTGAAATATTCGCGATTTACGCAAGAACAATCAGTTACTCGAATTCTATATGGTATAACCACCTGAACGAGTGATCGCGCTTCTTCAGCAATCTTGGTTCGTGTCTGTGCCCATTCGATTTCAGCACGCATTCGACTGCACAGCAGCAGATCCGCATCATCCAAGCTCAACTGTAACAATTTATTGGACCAAGTGTGCTTAAGAAAGGGCACATAACCTTGTCGGATGCTGGGACATGTCAGGGGCTCGGTTTGGCGCGGCGCCAGCCTCTTTCTCACCATTGTGGGGCGCGACAACATTGTGTGGAAACTAGGCTGACGCCGCGCCAAACCCCCGTGCCATGTTCGAGCATCCACAGCGAACAAGACCGCCTTATTTCCGCTTCATCGCCCATAGCTGACTGCGCAAGGGGAGTGACCGCGGGCTTGGTTATGAGCGCCGCGGCGGCAAGCAGTCGCCGTTCCCGGCAGA